CGCCCTCCCCCCCCCCCCTCCCACCCCGCCTACGTCTCCGCTTTGACTTTGGCTTGTTCTTTATACCCCACCCTTCACTGCTCGGACCCTTCTGTCCCTGGGATGTCCCCCCTTACCCCTTCCCTTCTTCTTCTCACCTCTTTTTTTTTTCTTCCTCCTCCTCCTCGTTCCAATCTTTTTCCACTCCTCCGCTCTCCTTCACCCCCACGCCCTTTCACACCGCCCACCATGAGATGAACCTATCAGAAAAGGAAGCCTTCGACACCTTCATCCGGCCCGATGACAGCTACACACCGGACGGCGTCTACTGGGCCGACCTCCCCTGGCACAAACGGGTTGCCTTCGTCACCCAATACGATGCCGCGGAGGCGGCGAGGGAGTTCGCGGGAGTGTGGAAGGCCTTCAGAATGGATCCTCTGGCGCCCGTTGCGTATTACTTTAGGAACATGGTGTTGCCGGGGGCCGGGTTGGGGCTTGAAGGGTGAGTGGTTTTGTTTTGTTATTTTGTTATTTTTATATTTAATTTTTATATTTTGTTTTATTTACTTTTTTTTCTTTTTCTTTTTTTTCTTTTTTTTCTTTTTCTTTTTTTTCTTTTTTTTCTTTTTTTCTTTTTTTTTTTTTTTTTTTGGCTTGGGACTGCCCGTTCTTGGCGGTCGGTTAAGCATTTCTTGGGGATGCTGGGCGTGGCTGGGCATTGCTTAGCATGGCATGGGATCGATTGTCGATTATATATATTAAGAAGGAAAGAGGAGGAGGAGGAGGAGGAGGAGGAGGAGGAGAAGATGATGATGATGATGAAGAAGAAGAAGGAGAGGAAGGAGAGGAACAAGAACTGACTCGACATAGATACGTTCTCTTCTCCATCGGCAATATCAAACCCTTGTTCCAAAGCACGTTCCGGGAATGCTGGGGCACGAAGAAGATCTGCAGTCCTACCTGGATTGCCGCAGTTGAATATCTGGAGATCTGCGGGATCATCGTCGGGCAGATCGTTGTTGGGGTTATTGGGGACTGGTATGTGACGTCGGAGTCCTGTATTCCGTTTTCATACATTTAATTTTTTTTTTTTTTTTATTGTCTAACTGGGACTCCTGGCATTAGGGTTGGACGGCGATTCGGTCTGATTCAAGATGCTGTGATTATGCTCCTCGGCCTGATAATGATCACAGCAGCTTGGGGCGTTACTCAGAATGGCTGGGTTATCTGCTACGTCTGGTCTTTATTTGTGTATGGCGTCGGAGTCGGTACGCAACTACATACCAGTCGAACCCTTGGCTCCCCCCTTGAAACCTATTCTTCTAATCCCAGTGCTAACACCCCCTCGTCGACAGGAGGCGAATACCCAATGACCGCAACCAGCGGGATGGAAAACGCCGTGGGATCCGGCAGAGTCTCCAACAGGGAAGACCGCCTCCACCGTGGGCGCAAAGTAACCAGCGCCTTCCTTATGCAGGGCTGGGGCCAGTTCTTCAACCAGGCGCTCCTCATCATTCTCCTCCTCTGCTTCCACCACGGCAGCGGGAACCCGCCTTACTCAGCAGTAGCCGCCCAATGGACATACCGCATCTCCTTCGCCATCCCCGCTGTCGGCACTCTCTGGCTCGTCTACTACCGTTACTTCAAGATGAAGGCCGCTAGCAAGCAGCTGGCCCTCTCCAAGGCGAAATCGAAAGTCACGGGCTACGATACGGATTCTCTGGCGTTGACGTTTAAGTATTTTGGGCCACGGCTGATAGCGACGGCGGGGAGTTGGTTTGCGAATGATGTGTTCTTTTATGGGAATAAGTTGTTCCAGAGCGAGTTCATCGCCGTCATTAGCCCGAATTCGCATTCGATTCTGCCGGGTTGGTTGTATAATATGATTAATGTGGGTGTTTCGCTGGTGGGATACTATATGGCTGGTAAGTAGTACCTGATTCCGTCTTTTATTTTAACACGCTTCCAATCAATCCACGAAATCATTTGCTAACCGACGAACGAACGACAGCCTTCTTCATCGACAACAAACTCTACGGCCGCAGATTGATGCAGCAAATCGGTTTCCTAATGGACTTCATCTTATTCATCATACCCGCCTTCAACTTCTCCTTCTTCACCTCCCCCGAAAACATCCACGCCTTCCAAGCCATGTACTTCCTCAGCAGTTTCTTCAACCAATTCGGCCCCAACGCCGTAACCTTCCTCGTCGCAGCAGAAGTCTTCCCAACCCCAATCCGTGCAACAGCCCACGGCTTCGCTGCCGCAGTCGGCAAACTAGGCGCCCTCACCGCCGCCGTCCTTTACAATTACATAGACACCCAGACCAAATTCTACGTCGTCCCCTGGTTCGGTCTGGCCGGGATGATCCTCACCTGGCTCTTCCTGCCCGACACAACAGGCCTAGATCTCAGGGAGCAAGAGCGCCGCTGGTACTATCTCCGCCACGGCCGGGAAAGTGAATACCACGGTCCTGCCGTTCATCCTAAGCATCTGTCTCTGTGGGAGCGGATGCGGGGCGCGGGCAAGTATTACGATGCCGAGGCAGATTACAGGCAGAAGATAGAAGAGATGAGGGGGGATTGGGAAGTTATGATAGCGAGAAGGGCGACGGAGAAGGAGTTGCAGTTTGAAGAGGAGGATCTGGACGAGGGGCTTGGCCATAAGCATGTACTTACGTACTTTGAGAGGACGAGTTCGATGCTTTTGGGTGGGGGGAAGGATGGTAAGGATGGTGCTGGTGCTGGTGCTGGTGCTGTTGCTGGTGCTGGTGCTGGTGCTGGGACGCGGACGGATGTTAGTCCGGCTAGTTCGAGGGGTGAGGATGACATTGCGGAGGTGTTTGGGGGGGAGAAGTCGGGATAGAGGAGTGTATTTTGAGAGGAGTTGGTGTTTCTTATGTTGTTTCTTATGTTTTTTTTTTTTTTTTTTTTTTTTCTTGCCATTTAATGTTTTTTGTTTTTCTGTTTGCTGCGATTGTCCGTTCGCCGTGTCCTTCAGCCGGTACCCTTCGCATGACGAACGGTCGAGTCTCGGATCCAATGACTAACACGACCGAGGGCTATTTCATGGAGATGGAGATTGCGATGTGGGATGATTTCCCGTTTTATACTTTTGCCATTTTCTTGTTTGCCCTTTTGGAAAACTTCTTCCCATCTACCTCTCTGTTGCTGTCTTGGATGATTCATGAGAAGGACGATTTTCATTCGCACATACTTAATACATATATATTCAAACCCATATATAGAGATAAGTAACTTTTTTGGTTTTTTACTTCTTGCCTCTGCCAATGCCTCATGCTATAACAAAACTTATGACAACATAATTTACCGCCTTGTATAGAGTTAGTTACACGTCTTTTTTTCAGTTCTGGTTTACATGTTTCTTCGTTGGTTGTTGGATCTTCGAATCACGTGATTTCAGAAGCCCTTATAGTCTAACCGATTTGAACACAGTCAATGAGCTTATTGCGATTAAGGTTAATAGCTATGATGTCATTCGACGGCCCCATTGTTGACTTCTTTATTTCAACCTCCCTCATTTGTCAGAAGAGCAACAAACTCAGAAGAATCACAAGGATATTCATTTCTTCAATCACTGCTGCTTGGTAGCTATGCTGAATACATACTGCAATATCTAGCATGTGAATGAATGGTCATCATTGCTTTGTGGAAGCAGTATGATTTTCTGTGAGTGAGAAGGAAGTTGAAATGCTGAATGGAAGAAATCATCAAAAGAGGATATTTCATTCACTTAACTTAATCTATCCATGTGAGATATTCATGAGAAACTGCTAATAGAAAGTATAGCACTGTATCTGTGTGCATGTAAGCATGCAGCCAATATCTCAATATGTGGTAGTGAATACCAATCACCGGCGTTTCTGCTACATTGTGAAACCACCTCTCAACCAATTATCTCACCCACGTTTCACGGCCTTCTCGGATGCCCGGGAATGCAAAATGCAAGATGCAAGATGCAACAACAACAACAACCAATAACGTTCAACGCCTTCAGGTCTCCGCTCAGCGTTAACTGGGAAAACAGGCCGAGGCAAAAACGCTTGTGATTGTGATTGTGAAGAGTGGAGGGAAGGTGTTTTTTTTTTGGGAGGTGTGTGTGGTGGGGGGGAGCGTTTGTTGGTTATACCAGCTGACCTACGACGCCGTTGCAGACATGAACTACCGAAGCTGTGAAAAGCTAATCCAAGTTCTCTCTCTGTCGCAGGAAGCCATTCACACACTCACATCTGCCGAGTTAGATGCGGCCACTCGGCCCCCGGATCGATCGATTCATCTATCTCTGGGGAGAAGTGATGTCATGGTGATATTTGTTCCAGTGTTTTGCGCTACTGCCCGCTGATTCCTCCCCATCTCGGGGGCGGAAGGTGCCAAGTCGTGCGTGGAACTATTCATGCATTCTGCTTTTATCGTCGTGAAGAATGTGGCTTTCTTTTTTATTTTTTATTTTTATTATTTTCTTTTTTTTTGTCCCAAAGCGGAGGGCTGCTCTTCTAGTTTTCTTTTGTTGTGTTAAATCGCCTATATGTGTCAGCCGGCCGCTTATACATAGCACATAGCATGCGCAGATGACATTGCCTTTCAAACGCCTGGCTGTGGGGATATTTGCTGCTGCACTGCCGCTTGCTGTGCCAGCGCAGAGCGGAGCAACACCCATACGCTGATGGTGTCGAAGTCGAAGCAACAGCTTCCGTCACCTCTACTAGCAGCATCTACCACGGCACTTTCTTGGGTATCTTTATAGTTCCTGGAGTCTTGACGGTGTTGTCTATTACAGGGATAGTTATTATTCCCAAATTAGAGCTCTTTAGTGCAACGCCGTATCAGAGTGATGAAAAGCTTCAAGAAAACTAGCCCGCACCGTGTGTCCCTGCCAGCGGCTTGGGGACGAATGCCACGATGCTGGTTGACAATGCGAAGAGAGATTATGATTTCGAGTCAAGAGTACCGTATTTGCACTGCTCTTCTCAACTATTCTCAGCATCTGCAAGTTCTGATCGTATGCGTTCCAGCAGGCATTGGCCTTGTACGTTGAATAGATTGCACTTGGCCTTTACAACCACTCCCTGGACCTGGACTCCACCGACGCAGGCTTCACCACATATGACCGCGAGCTCATCCAATTCACGGTCGAGCAGCAGCTCGGTCACGCAACCCTGATCGCTAACGTGCTTGGTTCCGCTACCCAGATCGATGCAGCTACAACTACCCTGTCTTCGCCACTGTTCACGAACGGCTCGAAATTTTTTTTTTTTTTTTTTTTTTTTTTTGCCAAAAGCTTCACCCGAAACGGTGGATCTGGCTTCTATGGCTTTGTCCCCTCTTCGACGCTCGCACAGCGGCCATCATGCTCCTGCAGTCCGTGTCCACTCAGGCCCGGCAGCATATGATCTTCCGGCAGTTCAACGACGGCCTCTTCTCCATACCCGTCTGGTTCGAAGAGGGCATCCCGCAATCGTGGTCCCGGTCCCTGTTGGTTGGCTCCATACATCTCCTCGTGCCCTGAAAGGCCAGATGCGTCTGGTCTGGGCAGAACTTCCCGGCGCTCTGGATGTGTACTTGCTAATCGATGACATTCTGAAGTGCGCGAGTGGTTTGTCTGCAGATGAAAATAAAACCTAACCAAAATTCTATTGATATTGGTATTTTCTGAAGTGGTTACATTACATGAAAAACAAAAAGAAGTATGAGTTGAGGTTAGTTGTGTTATTATGACCAAAGAGTTTGGAATAGGGGTTTGGTTGAAAGCAGAATCAAAAACATGATCGAGCAGAGACATGATGCAGTAGAGTGAAGATGTAACGTTTTTTTCTTTTTCCTCCATTTTTCTTCCTTTTCTTTTCCTTTCAAGAAAGATTTTCTTCCCTTTCTTTTAGTAGATGTTGTTAAAATTCTAGCGGTCAAGTGCTTGGGACTCACACTGTTTATTGTTGCCATTATCAGTAAATCCTGTCTATTAAAAAGAAGCAGTTGGGCGAATTCCTGTTGCGGGAGGGATAAAGGCGCCAAAAACATACCATCTGATAATATGCACCTCTCTTCTTCAGTAGAGAGTAATGATTCCCAACCTCCTCGATCCCTCCCTCGCCAAACACAAAGATGACATCAGCATTTTGAATGGTAGCCAATCGATGCGCGACAACGACCACTGTCCTCCCTTTAGCAGTCCGTTCAATGGCATCCTGCACATGCTTTTCTGATTCTGAATCGAGACTAGAGGTCGCCTCGTCTAGCAAAAGGATGCTGGGATTGCGGATGAGAGCTCGCGCGATACATATGCGTTGCTTCTGGCCGCTGCTCATTGCCAGACCCCGTAGACCGACGTCTGTGTTATAACCTTTTATATATATCGGAAAGAGGGTTTAAGCACACAGTACCCGGTGAGGCATTCGAATGTAAGCGAGCGGGGGGATGCTGGTTTGCTGCCACTAACCTTCTGGAAGGGAGACGATAAAATCGTGAATATTCGCGTCTTTACATGCTTTTTGAACGTCTTCATCTGTGAATATAGCTGGGTCCACGCCCAGCAGCACATTGTCCCTCACGGATCCTTTATCCACCTGTTAGCTGAGCTGAGTTGAGCCGTTTGTTAAGCTCAGAAGCGAGTATTCTTACCTTGATATAACGTTGGTTCTTGAGATACTAAGGAAACCGATTGTCGATATGAGGAAACGTCAAGAGTGCGTAGATCGTGTCCGTCGACAGTAATACTCCCGCTTTGGTAATCATAAAATCTAGTAAGAAGTATATATATAAGCCTCCATCAGGATAAAGAGGAGTGAGCAGGATTTATTAGTTAGGTACTGTAAGCTCAGAGGCACATACTTCTCAAGTAAATTGATGACAGTTGACTTGCCACATCCTTCTAGCCGTCAGAAGTACTAATATTAAATTTCTCAGAGTTACGAGAATAAGCATACCGGAAGGCCCAACCAAGGCAGCAAACTGGCCTTTCTCGATCTGTTGTTTTTATTTTTATTTTTTTTCTCTTTCTTAGAATTTATGCCTTCCAGTCTATAAATTGTGCTGAAGCGGTTATACATACCATGAAGTTGAGATTTTTAAACACAGTAACATCGCGGGTCGGATATTTAAAATTGACAGACTTGAAGTCGATCCTTGCGCCCCCCTCGAAGCGGCCAACAATTTTCTTTTCACCATCTCCATCATTTCTATCTGATGGTCTGACGCTTAATATACGATTGGATGCCCCTGTGGCCTGTGCGACGTCTGTTTGTTGTACAGTGAGGAATATTGATCAGAACAAATCTAGTGAGGATTCGCCAAACTTACTAGGAATCAGACTCCCGAATTGCCCTGCTGATTGACCACCCTGCACATATCATGTTAGTTAAAATGGGTTACTTTGAGCAAAGAGAAACTCCCTTACCAAAACAACAGCAATATAAATAACCATAAAGGTAAGAACGTCATACTCGTAGGTGCTAAGTAGCCGCCCTCCATACCTAGGCAATGAAATTAACCAGCTGTTCCTCTGAGTGCACACGTCTGAAAAAGTACCAGAAACATAATGCCATGCACGGAAGATCGATGCTATCTGAAATAGCGAATATCCACATTGTAAATCTTGCTTTCAGGAAAGCCTTTTTGACATGGTCTTGCAAAAGATCAGCATATCGGGCGGTAATGGTATCCTCAAGAGTGAGTGAAGTAACCGTGCGAAATGCTGAAATGGCCTCTGACGCGAACTGCGAACTGTCCTCAAATACTGCTGCATTCATCTTCTCAAACTGGACCTCATATCTGACTCGGATAAACATTGCCGAAACGATAAGTGGAAAAGCGGAAAATATTGCGACTAGTGTCAATTTCCAACCAAAGGAGAAAGCTATCGCGATGCACCCGACAATAGTAAATACGGAAATCAGGGGAAACGCCATCTGGTGACCGATAAGTTCTTGCAATTGTGTCGGGTCGGTCGAAAGTCGAGCAGATAATGACCCTGCTGAGTTTTCTTCCCTGTCGAAAAATTCTATTGGTTTCGCTAAGATATGTTCAAAGTACTGTTGTCTATACGTACTACAGATATCCTAGAGAAGATTAGCTAGATAGTAACAGGCAGTAGAGGAATCCTTACAGCGGACAGACAAGTCGATGTGTGGCCTAATATGTAATAAGAGACTCCGACGCAGAGGGCTAGCACGAAGAACATAAGCGACCAAAATTCGCTCCGGTCTATGAGTTCGGGGCGCTTCAGCTGAAAGACGGCGGTAAGTTGGGCAAATAAATAGCTTTGTATGGCGAATGCGACTGAGTAGAAATCGTTTAGTTACTGCAAAGGAACATACTGTATCTTCCACCATAAAAATCTTCAAATTGAATGTTAAAAATATCAAGGGATCTCTTACCACCACAGCCAGCTGCAGCAACGACAATGGAAACATCAAAATACCATAGTTGTCTTTGCTCCCAGAGAAACAGCCCGACTGAGTTGATCAGAGACCTTGCTTTATATGCCACCTCAGCCGCTTGACCGGGATCGACGCTAGTTTCGACCCTTGAAGCTTCTTTGCGAAGGTTAGGAAGATCCTGTTCTTGATCTTTCTTACTTGTTTCGCCTTGAATGTCAGGATCCTCATCTCCCATTTCGAGCCGTTGGTTTTCAACCAATGAATGGTATAATCCTTCACTTCTAATCAGCTCATCATGTGTTCCTTGTTCGATAGTCTCACCTCTCTTCATCACAATGATATTATCTGCCATTTTGATGGTCGACAATCGGTGAGCAATGGTTACCGTTGTTCGGTTTTTCGAAACGCGGTCGAGTGCTTCTTGAACAATGCGTTCTCCACGCACATCTATTGAACTAGTTGCTTCATCCAGGATAAGGATGGGTGGCCGTTTAATGATGCTTCGGGCAATTGCAAGTCTTTGGCGCTGGCCTCCGCTGAGTTTCACGCCATTCTCGCCTACCATGGTATTATATCCCTAAAGAATTCCATATTTGTAAGACCAGGCCAGTAGCAGGAGGAGAATATACCTACATCTGGCAATCTTTCGATGTACTCGGAAGCGAAAGATTCGCGACAGGCCTCTTTAACTAGTTCTCGTTTCACTTCCTCACTTTCGTTCTCCCATTCTGATCCCACCAGGCCATACGCAACGTTCTGGTAAATGGTGGCATTAAAGGTAAAGGGTTCCTGTTGAACCAGTCCGATCTGAGATCTCCACCACTTGAGATCTAAGTCATAAAGATTATGAGGTCCTATTGTTATCGAGCCGCTGTTGGGCACTGTTTCTGACTCGTTCAATTCCACACTCTGAGAGTTATTGCTCTGCGGAGAATTGCTCATTTTTTGACAGTCTCCATCAAATTCGTTCTCAAGCTGATACCAGCGCTCCAGCAGCGCAACAATCGTGCTCTTCCCGCATCCAGAAGGTCCAACGATGGCAGTTAACTTTTCAGCCGGGATGTCAAGCGTTAAATTGTTGGCAATCTTCACATTTGGACGGCTTGGATAAGAAAAATTCACGTCTCTGAAGCTAATATCCGCGGTTGACACAGGTTGATTTTTCAATCCCGACCTTTTAAGCGTCGGTGCGTCGATCATCTCAAAAAAGTAGGTTGACGCACTTGCAGCCTTGGAAATTGCAATGACAGGGTTTACAATAAAAGAAAGGGTTGAGACCACCAAGAGAATCGAAAAAATAACCCTACGAAATGGTGAAGCATTAGATAAAAACGTACCTACACTGTCAAGGCTCTTGGAGGAAGGGGAAGAAGCTATACGTAATTACTGGACCGACGTTTGGTATCCTCCCCGATGCGTACTGTCGAACGCCGAACCAGAAGGTTAAGGCAAAACTGGAGTACATAGCGAAATTCGACGGGGCAAGCTGGGCGCCAATCATGGGACCCAGACTCATTCCTTGTTTTCGTGATTCTGAAACCCATTTTGAATGGCGGGCGGCAAGTTGACCCTCTGCACAACAAGCAACGATGGTACGAATTGAATCAAGTGCTTCTGCTGCAATCGAAGAGGCCTTTTCGTTCGCTTGTTCAACTCGCTTCAGCCTTTTCATAAATATGGGAATCAGGATTGGGTATACTATCGAGATAAAAAGCATGGAAGAACTTGAAACCAATGTCAGAGCCCAGGAAAAGCGGAAGGCGACAGCATAGGCGCCGATGACCAGTGACAGCGATTGAACGAGTATGGCCAGTTTGTCTGATATAGCTGCCTGAACGGTGTTTGATGAGGTGGTAATCGTGTTTGTTGGCCGTCCAGGGGGCAGTTTATCAAGAACGCTAATCGGCTGGTTGAAGAGGGCTTGGAGATATGACAGACGAAGCCGGGAAGATATTCTGATTCCGGTCATTCGTAGAGCAAACTTGATATGGTTAATTGGTTTCTCGCTGGTTCGCTTGCGATCATGGGATAAACTTACCATTGAAAAGTATCCAAGCACGAGCTTGCCGATTAAGAGGTAAACTATGAATAACCTGCGAATTCGTCAGTCTATTTCTCATTTCCGGAATGTCATACGTTCTTTTACTTCTTCATTATAATTTTCTTCTCGGCGGCTTATCACGTACCGCCGCATAGCAAGTGCACGAGTATACTTACACATTACGGTTTACGCTGTGGAGGAAAGCATCCTTGGTTACCCCTGAACCGGGAATAAAATATCCATTAAAATCACCAACAACATTACCTAGACATAAAAGTGTAAGCCAAAATCATTGACAGGCGGCTCGCCCGGCTGCAAGGAGCACTAACCGAATATAATGTTCATCAGAGGTAAAGCCTTTGCCATGGTTAGTAGTTTGGAATAAAATGTTCACAGGAGGATACAGACAATTGTACAACTACTTACCACGCCTGCTCCTGCAGCGCACAGCGCAGCAGCTCCCATCAGGATCTTGTCAAGGATGGTTCCATGGCCTAATATTCTCTTTAAAACAGTGAAGCGTCAGCCCGAAAATAATAATAATAATAATTAAAATAAAAAAAATAAAAAATAAAAAATAAAAAAGCCACAAAGCAGGCATGATAATAGCAGTTGGTTTGCTCCATACCCAGAAGAACTTGAATTGAGGCCTCTCCTCTGCCTCAGGCTGCTGCTTTTCAGGCTCTGGCTGGGAGTTTTCCATGTCTGTGATGAACAACTTTGAATGTTAGCTCAACCCTGAAATAGCCATCGCCAGAGCTTTAAGAGGGAAAGAATTGTGAGCTCAGAGACACGGCGATGAGGCACTCGATCTTCATCAATTTGGCTGCCTAACGATTTGTTATCTAGCGCAGAGCCGGGGCCCTTCTTGGCCCTGGGATATCCGCTAGAACTGTGTATGGCTCTCAACAGGTAGCTTGGGAGGATGCTTGAACTGAAAAGGATGCGGTTTTTATTCTGTCATCCTCCCCAGTTCATTTCCAACTTGTTTATGAACTGAAATGGGACAGATAGAGAAGAAGTTCTCAAATATAAAGCCCTGGATCATCCTCGATCCGTGGGGCTTGCAGCGGCCCCAACTGACCCTTATCCGACTGCAGTAAAAATAATCTCTGTTGAGCTACATTCATTGTATGACGAAGTCTGGGTTGCACATAATTGAACATCCCTTGAACTGCGAAACCAATCGGTTTAATGCTGTTGCTGCGATATTAAGGAACGAGTTAGCCGATACACGTATCTAGGAGCTGAAAACCACTCCGGAGGTTTGACCATCGGCTCGTAATTACACGATCACTACGAAACTCATCATCCAAACAGACACCCGCCAAACATCAAATTCTCGGACCGATCCGGAGGGACCCGACCAATGCTGAGTGAAGGTTGGGCCCAAGAACGGGGAGCGAGCCTTCAAATATGGAGTCTGCCTGTGTCGGTCGCTTGTTACCTGCACCGATTTCAACTACGGTTGGGCGGCCACGGATAAACTTAGCCGTTGCCCGGGGTGACCGCCGCGCCGTGTATGTAACTATCTATACAGATTAGCGAGCTCCAATTAAAAAGAGAGAGAGAGTTCAACCATCCAACATTTATTGTGTCTCTTCTTTGGCCTTTACAACAAGAGCTTGCGGATATGTCATGCTCGATTTTGAATCCCGAAGGTTCGGCCTGGAGATCCATCCAGCTTGACCTCACCGCTTCTCCCCAGATAGATTCTTAGTTTAAGCGAGATCTCAACATTTGTGAGATGCATGCAGAAACATACCGAGTTAGACAGTGTCCCATCGGGGCCAATGATGGAGTTATCTTGCAGAGGTAAATTGAACATCCACAAGCGCAATCTAAATTCCAGTTACACGTTCCAAGGTACAGCTGTGTCAGCCTCGGTAACATTGGGATTTGATGTTCAAAATCGAAGAACAATGCTAACCACCTAGGTGGTATATACAAGAAATACGAGGATAATTCTGCATTTGGTATCTGTTCTGCGGGATTCCAAATAATGCAATATTTACTGTTAACGTTATGCGGATGTGTTCTGCCCTATGCCTTTATCCTGGGGTCATCCCTGCATTGATCTGCTAAATCAAAAGAGGTAAACCGTATGCTGTTCTTTTCAGCTGTTTATAAATAGATAGATATATTTCGGAGAACTTTCGAGAGTTTTTATTAAAGACAACCATGTGTATAGTTAGTGGACTGCAGGCCCATCAAGCAACGCCCTTCCTAGTCTGTGAGATCTAGGCGTCGCTTGTTGGTGTCTACTCGGTCTAAATGCTTCCAGCAGTTAGCAATTTAAACATCTACTTTTATCAGTTGAAAGATTTGATGATAGAACAGGGATTTGCTCATTATATTCCTTGCGCATATTGGAAACAGACAGGGCGGGGATCATTCCGGCTATAACATCAAGCAAGGGTGGGTTCACTTATTCCTCACTGCGTAAATCATCGCCAGCAAGTCGGTCTATAAATTGTCAGCCGTTTCTGCCTTGTTCCCTTGGGGAAGGATTCGTATATTGTCTATCAATTTCCAGCTTGGGGTCAATTTCTATAATAATTGCCCGTTTTGCTCCTTTTCGATATTCAAAACAACATGGATCCACATCCACTTGACCCTATCCGCCCAGTCGAAGTTAATCTGTCGGCGAAAATTCTTCAAGCATCGTTCCCCGGTGTACCTCTGCGGTTCAAGGTTATCCGATGTACAAGAACCCATCAAGAAAGATGTCGTCCCATATAGAGAGGCAGACCGGCTGGGCAATCCTCTCCCCGCTAAACCAGCCCGGCTTGTCCAAGTGTTGTTTCACCGACTCGATACTCATGCTTTCTAGAAAGCTCTGATCAATCTGGACACGAAGGCGGTGCTCTCGTTGAAGGAGTTCCCTAAGGAGGTGCAGGTATGTGTTTCCTTAGAACAAGAGCCGCGTTGCTCTCCTTCTATGACGTCCCGATGTGGGTTCTAACTAGCTCACCAGGGACCCGCCGACGTCGACGAGATACTAGAAATTGAACAACTCTGTATTAATCACCCAGCAGTTCTCGCCGAAGTTGAAAAAACTGAAGCTTTCCAGCTGGCATCGCTGTTCTCAATGACCTCTGGATCTACGGTTGTGATGATATCAATGAAACTCGGAGATTGTCCCAGTACTATATGTACATGACAAAGACCATCCCACAGGAGAATCATTCTCTCTGCCAATGCCATTCTCCCCAGTTTTCGATGGACATCACCCGTGAACTTGTGCGGATAGACTACCTCCCGACTGGAACAGATCATTCAATTGCCTCAACAAGCCCGTGGACTCCGGTAAAGACAGTTGAGGACGCGCATGACCTCCTTGATGAACCGCTAAGAACAGATTTCAAACCATACATCGTGCAACAACCCGAAGGCGCCTCGTTCTCTGTGAATGTCAATGCAGTCAAGTGGGAATACAGAGTCGGTTTCAATTCCAGGGAGGGCCTGACACTTTACAATATCACTTATGATAAACGCAATGTCTTTTATCGGCTGTCCGTAAGCGAAATGACAGTTCCATATGGCGGTATGTCAGGGCCCCAATGGCACAATCTGCTAGTTGAGAGTCATCATGCTAAAATTTCCATACCTGTCAAGACCCACGAGCTCCCTATCACCGCAAACTGGCGTTCGATGTTGGCGATGTCGGATTCGGAATTACTGCCAATCAGGTGTAACTAAGCTGTGACTGCCTAGGCCACATTAAATAAACGGATGTCGAAGCGATTCTAGAGATTCTAAGGGCAACCCAGTCATTCTCGAAAACGTAGTCTGTCTCCACGAACAGGACGCTGGCCTCCAGCACAAACACACGATTATCGCTCTGGCGAGGCCACCGCGGTCAGAAACCGCCAACTGGGTCGTGCAGATGATTTGCACCATTTCTAACTCCGAGTATATCTTTGCCTGGATTTTCGACCAAGCAGGAGACATCGAACTCGAAGTCCGCGCCACCGGCATTCTTTCCACCATGCTCACCGACCATGGTGCCACCGTCCCTTGGGGCACCAATGTTGTGCCGGGTGTCATGGCTGGGTACCACCAACATATCTTCTCCATGCGCATTGACCCAGCCATTGACGGACATAACAATACTGTAGGCTATCAAGACAGTGTCCCAATGCCTGAAGATCCGATCGCTAACCCATATAGTGTGGGATACATCGCGGAAACCACCGTACTGAAAACGTCCGTGGCTGAGGATACAAATGTTGAGAGACATCGTGTTTTCAAAATTCGCAATGACAACGTCATCAACCCGATCTCACACAAGCCGGTCGCTTATAAATTGCAAGCACTTGCAAGCCAGATGATGTTGATGAACCCGCGGAGCTTTAATCAGACCCGCGCAAAGTTTGCGACCAAGCCTATCTGGGTGACCAAGCACCACGATGGTATGCCGCTGGCGAGTTCACTAATCAGAGCAAGAAGAACGCTGGTGTTGAAGATACCGACCTGGTATTGCGGCATTGTATGTATCACTCCTATTTTTTGTTTAGTACTTTCTGCTTTAGTTGCATTGCTGGTTAAAACCCCCTGTACCAGTCAACTGGGTACAAGTATGCTAAATTCAAACAACTTGCAAAAATCACAGCATTCGGTCTCACCCACAACCTACGCCCTGAAGCCTTCCCCATAATGCCTGTTGAACGGATAAGCACATCATGCTTAAAGCCAGAAGGTTTTTTCCAGAAGGACCCTGCTCCGACGTCCCTACATCTAACCAGTCATCTAACCATTCTCAACTGCACGAGGGCGGAAAGCCTGACGCCGATGCCCCTGTGCCATCGGCTTGTCATTGCCCGTCGAAGACTGAACGGCTGTAATGGTGGGAAAGTCGTTCAGAAGGTATATCGATTCACGCATATCTATATAGCATCGAGGCACCTGTTGGTTGCATTTAACCAGTCGGCGTTAGTAACCTGGCTGTGAAAACGGTTTCTCATGCTCTTCATCCATCAGCTCAAATTGCCGTCACATGGTGCTTATCGAGAAACCATGCCACGTTGCTTGTCCCAAGGAATCATGTTTTCTAAGAAGTATGGTGAATTGGACAAAAACGGGCCCCTGTATAGCTTCGAGAAATTTACGATTCTCAGTCCGAAGTTTGTGCTATGATCCACGAATATGTCAAGGTGACATCAACGTCCAAACTTGAGAAAAAATATGACTTCCTTCCCCCCAAGAGGGATGGTAATCCACTTCAATTTCGAAGCAATCGAGCCGATTCTATGCAGCCCACAACCAATCTGAATCAACCCTTAGAAATTCATGGGTGTAAGGGTGACATGGTTCTATCTCGCGATGGGGCAGCCCAACCTCCAGGGCTCGTCGTCTCTTTGGCCGGGTGGAACATGCCGCTAGGGCGTTCATAGGAAGTTCATGTAAAATAAAACCAGAGACTTGGACGAGAAGGCAGACCCGGTAACGAGGCGAACAATGTGCAATTCGTGAAGTTCAATGGCAAGAGTTAAAAAGTATATTCGAGGCTAGCATGAGATTGGACCTCCAGCAGAATTTTCTCAGGTGACGAATGAAGATCTTCAACTCCAATCATCATCATCCGCTAGCAGCGCCAATAGTATGCCCGTATCTCGATGATCACCCTAACCTATCCATGTCTATTCGGAGAATCTCGCAATGGACATGCGTACCTCTGGGGTGTATAAAGATATCCATAAAACTTTGTTAGTAACTTCTCCCTGCTTTTTGTCACAGGGCATTTTCTTCTAAAAATAACCGTATTTATTGTCCCGGACCTCAAAACCCAAGTATCTCGGTTGAGCGAACCAGCCGATCCGCCCATCCGAGGTGTTGAGAGGATGGCAAACCTCACCCACTGGTCCGTTGTTTTCCATGTGTACATGCACGATATTTCCTGTTGTGGACATATCTCCAGCTAAAAGGAATTAGCTTCTTCGACACTGTGATCCGCATGCTTTTATTATCATTGAAAGCCGTATGTATTTCACCAGCCATTATGGCACGTCACATCATCACAAGGCTTGCTATGTTTGCGCAGCTCATGAAAGAATTTGAGGCGCAGCCTGGCAAATGACTGGAGACGTAACCGACGTTAAAAATAGGCATATTTGGGTTGCCAACTAAAAGGGTTCAGAGACATTTGATTCGTCTCCAGCGCTGATGAAATCCCGAGAGAATCTTGGGAGGTCGGATCCATCGACTGACTCATCAACCCCTCCAAAACAAAAACAAAAGTTTATGCCGAAGAAGCGGACGGCGGGTGGAGCATGTTGATGAACAGTCATTGTTCCTGCTGCTGCTTCAATTCTGATTCTGGAATAATCTTTAGATCATAGACTTGTAACTACTGCATGAGTACGACTTTTTAAGTAGTTGCGGTATAAACACTCTAAGCATCTTTTCATGCCGACACAAATCAAAACAATTTACTCGTTCGAGGTTCCTGGCAATTTGCCCAACTGGGCCAACGTCAAAACTGTCGAAGAAAAGCCAAGAGGCCAAAACAGAAATACAAAGTAACATCTTCGGGGGGGGGGGGGGGGTTTCTGGGTTTTTCTCTGGCCGGAAGAACCCTCGACTCGATGCAGCCAAGAGGTGGCGATGAATCATGACCCAGCTCTGTCAAATGGTAGAGGGGACCTTTGTATGTCGGGGTTTGGGACACTGACAACAACAGAGGGAGAGAGATAGATTGGAGAGAGACAGCATGTTTGATGAGACAGCGTGTTTTGATGAAACATCATTCCATTCTTTATGGCAGGGAAAGACAAAACACAAACACAGGATGGGAGACCCGCAGGGTGTGTTGTAAGCAGCAAAAGCCAGAGTTTCTTTATGAACGGTTTTGTGCAGATGTTTGTGTTTATTGTGTATTTATTTTGTTTTTTTCGTTTCTGGCGGTTCCCAGCCGATTGGTCCTAAACAAACTGGAACCGATCCTTGCATTTTTTATCGGAATCTTTCCAGTGGTTCTCTGATCCCAGATCGCATGGCAGAACTGGCATTATTTGTTTGCCCTGTCCCCGATCATCAAAGCGCTTTTGACTGCTTCCCCCGATCGGAGGAATACATCGGGCGAGGGAGGCTTAGTTAATTGAGGGGAGGGTTTTGAAGCTGAACTTGTATCAGGACTTCCAACAGGTGCCACTGGTGACAGCTGTCAGCAGCACACACTGCCACATACCACAGCCCACTTTTCAAGGCCTGGTTGAAACGGGTCTCAGATTCTCGCCGGCCTAAAGCAACTGGATCCAGTTGAGGCTGCAACGGTAGCGCCGGACAAGGGACCCAAGAGCTGAGTGAGGCAAACGAGGAGGCCCCTCTCTCACCCAAGCACCAATCAGTAGAACCGATCTGTATGTGGCTGGGGAATTCAGAAGTTGGGTAAAGGAGCCAAGTAATAGCCAAGCATTTTTGTGAGAAGATCCATGATTTGCTAGCCCATTAGCTGGTCGCTGGAAACCGGCTGTTTTGTGTTGGGCGTTTTTGAAGGATGGCGGAGGCATAAGCCTTCACAAAAACAGAGCTCAACAGCCAAAAAACATCATTGTGCAGCCCGGCTAGTGCTGGCCAACGACGTAAAATCTGTCGGAATTTTTACCGGATATCCTGACCTGCTTCAGACTGTCGTGCCTTGATTTCTTGCTCGCCCCCCCCCCCCCCCCCCTTCCGGCTGTTGGTTTCGTGCATATCTACTCTCCTCGATTCCCCCCCTCTTCTCTCCCTAAAACCCAAGTATCATGCCCTTCGCTTAGCATGTTCGAACAACTTGTAACATCGCCGGCCTAGCTGTCCTCTAACTGGTGCTCAACTTCCTCACCAGCAATTTTTCTCCGACATTGACGAGTTACTCTACCGAATTCCCTTTGCTGATTAAATTAATCCTTTCCTTCCTAGGTCTGCGAGGCCTCTCTTCCTGGTTCTGCATCTTCCGGGGCGTCTGCTTTTGCGGCGGGACACTGTTTGTAATAAATAATTTGCAAGATTCCATTTCTGCCCGTCTGGGTTCTCAGCGTTTGTTTCCTGTTCCCTGCTGGCAGAGGTGGAGCTTGTGTGTTATTTTAGATCTCTGTGCCTTTCTTTTTGTTTGTTTGTGCCGTTTGTGTACAATATACAAAACTCAACATTTCTATCCACCTTCACTCAAGCAATTCGCCAATTCACTACGTCTACGTCTCTCGTCCTTTTCTTTCTCTCCGACTGGTTCTCTTCCCCCACCCCCACCCCCGGTCCCTCGGATTTCGTTCCTGTTTCTATACATAACACTCCTTATTTTTACTACATTTCACCTTCTCTACAACTGAAGGCCACCAAGTCTTAATCTCTCAAGCTTTTAATCTTCCTCCCTTCGAGCAACAGAACCCATACTGAGAGGCCTCCTTCCTTACCCCTCCTATCCAGATGGCTCGACTGTGGAGCCCTGTGCTCCTCCTTTTCCTCACTCTCATCCTCATCTCCTCAGTGGCTACCGTGGAATGGGAAAAAGCCATGGGTTTTCGGGCCCACTCCCGCCCTCATTTTGCTGGTTCGTTTAAATCCCTCTCAGCTCGAATCCGGCCTTGTGATAATTGCCTGGCAGAATATGTAGTCTCAGCTCACAGTTTTGATATAGTTAATAAAAGACAAAACGGCAGCGATTCCACCATGAAACCTCAACCATCAGGTAACCAAAGCCCACCAAGCACCCCCGAACAATCATCCTCCGAAAGTTCTCCCGTTAACCTCGAGACGCCCTCCTCCACTCCTTCGCCAACAGAATCCTCTCCTGATCCACCCACAAACACACCCAACCCCACTCCCACGCCAACACCAACACCAACGCCAACCCCTTCCGAAACACCCTCAAACTCCCCATCCGACACTACAACCCAAGAATCAACGCCACCGCCATCTCAACCGGCATCGCAATCGCCAGAACCAACTCCATCAAACCCGCCTCCCGCGTCCGAAACCTCTGCAGCCCCTCCCCCCAGCACCAGAGCTACCACAGGACCCAACGAAACTCCGAATCGACCCACCTCAACCACGAACAGAAATACGTCAGACCCCACGTCGAGTGCGACTGCACCGCCGTCAACCTCCCAATCAAGCGACTCCTTAAGTTCAACCACAGTGCTCATTCAAACCACAAACTCAGACGGGTCACTGACAACAATCACATCTGTCGTCGTCATTCGCCCGTCAGCAGCGAACTCGCAACCACCAAACGCCAGGAATTCTCCTGCATTGCAAACGGGTAGTGGTGCGTCGCGGGTGTCTGTTGGCTGTGGAATGGGGATGGGTGTTTTGGTTGTTGCTGGTGGTGTTATTGCTGTTGCTATGGCTTTGTAGACAGAGTCATATGGCTATTTGGGGGAATGGTAAAAGGGAAGATTTGGAAATGACGATTTAATGAGAGTGGTGAGATGTTGAGTGTTGGGCGATGGATGCCGAATAATGAAGATGTTTCGCAAGGGAGAAAAAATGAGAAACCCCATAATTCGAAGAGAGAAAGTGGAAAAGAATGAGCTGCGTGCAGATAAACTTTATTAATTTGTCTTCTTTTGGCCTTCATGGATTAGAATGGAAGGGTAAAATGGAATAATGAGTAACGACAGGGATTGAGTGAATGCAAGCTGGAGTTGGAGGTTCTTTCGAATTTATATACATACCTAATCTGTTCTTTCGTAAAAGATAATAATTGTAACCCAATTTTGAAGAACGCTTTCCACTTACTTTTCTCTCTTTTCGTATTATTTTGATCGTCGTTACTTTAATCAAATTGCCAGATCAAGGAAGGTCTTCAAGCTTGATTTTGAGCAAGGTATAGGGTCACCATCGAGCCCATGTAAGAACCTATTTTCTAACAGTGCGGAGGAGTCCTCTAATCAGTAGTTACTAGATAATATCGTTAAATTGAATGGAATAGAAATCAAAGAGAGGGGATAACAAGCAACGGGTAGTATCTCTAAAGGCAAAACTTGTTCGAATGACTGGAGTCCGAACTACACAGCAAACCGTAGACAAACACTTCCAACGTAGAATCCAACCCTGTCGAAAGGGACGTGGTTTGTCCCTCTACCACCCCAGTAAGTTGGTACCGGGAAATCAAGTTATATTCCCTTCATACAGACAATCCCTCCGCCCTTTGGTGTCGATCAAGAATCAGCAGCGCACCGTTCTCGGAGTATTCTCCCCATTTCACCAAGGGGATATCTATCCCCATTCTACCTCAAGATGGGGTATCGGGAATAATTAAGCTAAACGAGCCGGGGTCGATATATCCCCTGTCATCATCACCTCCACCCACATATATTTTTTACATATACTTGTCTCAACACATAAACCATTTATATCCCATTACTCCTGTCCACTCATCTCCGCCCACTGGCATCACCCGCCCACCTCTCCTCCCCCGTCCAATACCTAACCAACCCCTCCCACCCCACTCGATCCCCACTCTTCATCAACACCGCTACATCAACATTAAGCGGACTCTCCGGCCGCGGGTCCGTCAGCAACTGCTGAATCGCCGACAGTGTCGAGGATAGTGTGTAGGCGGGACTCCAGTGTTCTGTCGTGAGAAGGGTTAGGCATATCTCACCCGTCGTGAAGGAGACGTTTGGGTGGCAGATGCGAGTTGTGAAGGAAATGGTGGGCGGGTGGAGGGGGTAGGTGGGCGGGATGGTGATATTTAGGTGCCAGAGGCCGCCTGGGTGATGTTAAGTTTGAGACTTTTTGAGAAACTACATGTTGAGATAAGATGGTTTTGGTTTTTATTGGGGGGTTCAACGGGGAAAAATACTTTCGTACGGTGTGCCACTTACACCTTTCAGGACTGCTTCCCAGCGTAGCAGGTCTGTGTCGTGTATGGGACCGAGGTGTAAGAGGGCTTCGTTGGGCGATTTCTGGTAGTCACTTAGTTCGCGGATGAGCCGTTTTGTGGTCGAGGCGGAGGAGGGTTGTTGGGCCATTGCAGGTGCCTTTTGTTTTATGTATTGTATGGGGAAGATAGAGGAGAATCTGGGAGGTTATACACGAGGCTCCGGGAAATTGCATGATGTTGTTATATTGCTCTGTTGAAGACGTGAAGTTGAAGCTGGGGAAAATAAATAACCTTCGTTTGCGCCGAGGTTAACTTGGAGATCCTTATCACCACGTGAGGCTCGTAATCGGCATGACTAATCCTATTGGTTGTTCAGGGGCAATTCAGTTCCTATAGTCAACGAGCGGACGACTGCAAAAACCCTGGATATATAAAACAATCGATAAGCCTAAAATGCGAACATCGCGAGTCTCCAAGGAGACCGCAAGGCTAGCCGATATTCTATCATCCACTCCGCGCCGCCAATCGCGACGAATCACCAGCTCCAACCCTCTAAGAAGTTCTGCGCTGTCAGACAAGCAGCCAACATCTCATCGCAGTAAACCCATAACCAAGGAGGAGCAGAATGATAGCGCAGGAGAAGACAGCTCATTACTCTCTTCTGCCAATACCACTGACATCGAAGATCTCTTAACTCCTGTCTCTCAGAAGCGAAAGCGGAAACGCGGCCAAGACACGATTTCCACCATCAAAACTGAACGATCAACTTCTACAGGGCGTAATTCTTCGTCGACTAGAATATCCAGTACACCGCAAAATTTTATTATTGCCAAGGATGAGGAATCAAAGCCGAAGCTTGGTGCGAAACCCAAATCCCGAAAACTACCAGCGCGTAAAACCACAGCGGTAGATGGAACTGTCAAAGTTGAACCCCCTTCGAATTGGGAAAAAATTTACGAAACAGTGAAGGAAATGCGGCGCAAGAACCCCACCGCTCCTGTCGATACCATGGGTTGCTCCCAGCTCTACTGGCGCTCCTCATCCCCCCGTGACAGGCGCTTCCACATCCTCATTGCTCTGATGCTTTCGTCGCAGACGAAGGATACTGTTACAGCCCTCGCAATGCAGCGGTTGCATACAGAACTAGGGTCGGAGCAGGGGGGCACGGATACAGATGATGGGACGCGGATAATAAAGAAGGCAGGAGAGGGAAAAATAAAGGTAGAAGCAGAAGCAGAAGCAGAAGCACAGGAAGACCAGGAAATGAAAGGACTAGTATGGGACCACACCAAGCAACAGGCAAAGAGCACTCTTACCCTTGAAAACATCCTCGCCGTCTCCCCCACCCGCCTCAACCAACTCATCCAAACCATTGGTTTCCACAACAACAAAACAAAATACATCAAGGAGGCTGCCATCATCCTGCGCGACGAATACGACTCAGACATCCCTCCTACCATCGAAGGGCTTATGCGATTGCCAGGAGTGGGTCCCAAGATGGCATATCTATGCATGAGTTCAGCCTGGGGCCGTGATGAGGGCATCGGCGTCGACGTACATGTGCACCGCATCACGAACCTATGGGGATGGCATAAGACGAAAACGCCTGAGGAGACGCGGGCGGCACTGGAGAGCTGGTTGCCCAGGGACAAGTGGCATGAGATTAACAAGCTGTTGGTTGGATTGGGGCAGACGGTTTGTTTGCCTGTAGCCAGGAGATGTGGGGAGTGTGAGCTTGCAGGATCGGGCTTGTGTAAGAGTGAGGTTAAAGGGTGGGTGGGGAAGGTGAAGAAAGAGAGGAAAGTGGAGGGAGATACAGAGCTGGTAAAGAAGGAGAGTAAGATTGATGTTAAAGTTGAAGACACAGAGGAACAATGATTTGTTGGGATTGTGGATGATGATGGAGATACATGCCATTGTCGGGTTTTCTGTCCATGCTGTAAATCTGAAGGACAAAAACTCACATCGCATTTCTAGATCTATGTATGTACACCTACAACAAACAAAGTGGGTTGAATTTAAGAATAAATCTAGAGTATTTCATACATATGTGCGTTGTTTTCGCACTAAGGCTATCTCTTTTGTTCCGTTGTAAACATTTTCGATAAAGACACTGACCGAACCTAATTATAATATATTTGTGCCCCTCCTACATAATTGTTGAACCACCACCAAGAAGAATACACGCCCCTGAACATCCAACAATTATCCACCCTAACATTCATTTAACAATAAAATACACCCCACGATAGAAACCTTGTTTTCACCCCTCCATCCCTTTTTACTTCACATAGTTTGACCTCCAAGTCGGGAATACATGTTCACCCTCCCCCATCAGAAACATCCTATTTATTCAACCAGGCTAATCAATCTAACCCCATGCCAACTCCAGCCTCAATTCCCGTCCAATCCTTCGCCCAAACCCAGCAACGTCTTCTCCTAGCTGAACATGAAGCCGAAATCGCTTCGTCCGCGCTTGCCACCTCCATCGCTCAATCAGGTGGCATTGTGTCCGCCTCAACTCGCCGCGCATTACAAGCTACCGGATATGCATTGACAGGCCTGGTGCTAGTCAACTGTCGGACCGGGATGGGCGGTCGTGAGGTTGGGGAATTTGGAGTGGATAGCGCGATCGGGTCTGGTGCGAGGAACAATAATGGTGGAGGAGGTAGGGGTGAGGGCGAGGTTGCTGGTGATGGTGGAGCGAAGAGATTGGGGGCTCATGGGATAAGAGTTGGTGATGTGGTGAGGGTTGAGGATATTTCAGCGGGGGGCCGAGGTGCTGCTGGCTCCGGAATTGCAAAGGGGGCTAAGGTAAAAGGGGGAAAGGAGGAGGAGAGGAAGCATAAGGGGATGGAAGGTGTGGTGACGAGGGTTGGGGAGAGGAGTGTTTGGGTTGCCTTTAGCGAGCGAGGTGACATGGGGAAAGGGAGGTATGAAGAATCTGTGGAGGATCTTTGGGCGAGGAAGGTTTGGATGTGAGCTTTGTTGTCTTCTTTGATGGGAGTTGTGCTTATTGGAGCTATTGGCTGATAGCTGAGGTGCTACAGGGTAAAGCTGGCAAATGACATTACGTATCGTCGGTGAGTATTGCATTGTTATGATTATGAGAGTTACGGGATACGAGATGCGATTTCTAATTCGACTCCTGCTAGGATGAAGCAAACGATGACCAAAATGGAGAACATGACGGAATCTGAGTATACACATTTCATGAGAGTTGTGTTCGGGCATACAACACCCTCTCCAGTGGATATGGATTCCATTGGAACAATTGATTTCATCGACCCTACATTAAATGACTCGCAAAGGGAAGCAATTCGATTTGCACTTGCATCAAGGGAAATTGCTCTCATCCACGGCCCACCAGGGACGGGTAAAACCTATACCTTGATAGAGCTGATTTTACAACTGCTCCGCCGCAATCTACGGGTCCTGGTTTGTGGTCCATCAAACGTCTCGGTTGATAACATAGTCGAACGGCTGGCTCCTCATAAAGTGCCATTGGTTAGAATTGGACATCCAGCTCGTCTTTTATCTACTATTCTGGATTACTCTTTGGAGGTTTTAACGCAGACGTCGGATGCCGCTGCCATTGTGAAAGACGTTAGGAAAGAGATCGAGATTAAGCAGGCCAGTATACGCAAGACTAGGAGTGGTAGAGAGAGGAGAGAGATCTACAGAGATCTAAAAGAATTACGGAAAGAGTTTCGAGAGCGAGAAGCTAAATGTGTGGGTAACCTTGTTACGGATAGCAAAGTGGTGCTTGCGACATTGCACGGGGCTGGTGGGCATCAACTGAGGAATCAGAAGTTCGATGTTGTTATCATTGATGAGGCAAGTCAAGCTTTGGAGGCTCAATGTTGGGTACCCTTGCTATCTGCTACCAAGGCGATATTGGCTGGAGATCACTTGCAATTGCCTCCCACCATCAAGTCCACTCCTTTGAAATCCAACGGGGCGGAAAGTGGAAAGTTGAGTGGTGAAGAAAAGGCAACTCTAAGCGCAGATAGAGATAGTAGTGTAGGACAACATAAGGCGACAAAAGGAGTTACACTAGAAGTGACACTTTTTGATCGTTTGCTGTCACTGCACGGTCCCGCCATCAAACGCATGCTAACCACACAATATCGCATGCACGAGAAAATCATGAAATTTCCTTCGAAGGAGCTATACGAATCCAAGCTAGTTGCAGCAGACGCGGTGAAACTGCGTTTACTTAAAAATTTGCAATATGAAGTCGCAGAGACCGATGACACGCGGGAACCTTTGGTATTCTACGATACGCAAGGAGGAGATTTCCCCGAACGAACCGAGGAACCTGCTGTGGCGTCGAAGCAAAAGCAGGAACCCATGTTTGCAGAGAGTAAGAGCAATGATATGGAAGCTGCTGTGGTGGCTCGACACGTCGAGAATTTGGTTGCGACTGGCGTGAAGCCTGAAGATATTGCTGTGGTGACACCGTATAATGCGCAGTTGACCATTCTGTCTCAATTGCTGAGGGACAAGCATCCCGGGATAGAATTGGGGAGTGTGGATGGGTTTCAGGGGCGTGAGAAAGAAGCTGTCATTGTGAGTCTTGTACGCAGCAATCCGGAGCACAAGGTCGGTTTTCTTGGTGAGAAGAGGCGGTTGAATGGTAGGTTGCTTTGTGTTCAGATTTTATTGCCCCAGACCTTTTATTTCCCGTGCGCGACAGAAGAACCTCCAATCCCGATGGATGAGGTAGTTGGACGACCGATGAGCAGGTGGCAGATCACCACATAGGCTTCAGGTATCTTCTGACATATGGCTAACGACGTCAACAACCGGCAGTCGCCATGACCCGTCCCAAACGTCATCTGTGTGTATGTGGGGATTCTGAAACAATTCGTCGGTGAGTCAAACGAATCGTATTTACCCTAATGCCCTTTCCATATATCCACTCCCCTGCAATTCTTGTGAAGATGAGTTTCAATCTCCTCCCAACAGATGGAAAACGCAGAAACTCTCAAAGCGGGAGAACAATATTTTTTAACTTTTGATCTGTCATGATTCTTTTTGCTTTCGTATCACAGCGGCAGTCAATTCCTGCGACGATGGATGGACTTTCTAGAAGAGAATGCCGATCTGCGATATCCCGACGCAAGCGAATATTTATAACAACCATCGGATAAGCCCACTCCAGGGGCACAAATTCCCTTCATCATCGAGAGGAAAGTCTCGAAATGTCGAAAAAGCCATTATTATATCATGAATTCAGAAATGTTGTCATACTCCCGCTACCCTTGAGCTAAGAAGGATTGTTTTTCCTCAGGTCATATCAAGCAAGGCGTTCGGGCGACTCAAGTGGAAAAGTAACTAGGTGAGAAAGCTTAGGAGGAGCAGATATTTATCAACCAAATGGTTACAATGTCCCATGGGAAGGAAAATATTAAAACATAGGATCCGGCAACTAGCTAAGGTGGCTTCAAGTGGACAGTCACTGAGTCGTAGAAGTGGTATGAATATCACGACAACAGCCAAAAAAAGATAGGTTTATACCCGATTTGGATCATAAAATCAAACAAATGGAAGCACATCCATAGTTGATGGATAGAAGCACATTTTTTTTCTCCCAGGATATGATGATGCTCAACACGGCAACCTTTCGACACTTGGAATTACCGCTTTAGATGTGGAAACACAGTTTTTTGAGATGGTTAAACAATTAATTATTGAGTTATGTGGAAGATCTTCTTTTCTTCACTCGCACATTCGGACCTTCTTCTTGTCCCACAGCCAGTTTGAAACCATGTGTGAAAGCGATATCAGCTAAATGTCAAACCCCGCTTACCAGCTCCCTAGGTGCCTGCTGCTCACTTGGATAAATTGAGCACTGAAGACCATGTATTAACACAGATGTTATTAACTAGCAACTTGGACAACCAAGTGTTAGATTAGTGGGATGATAGCACACCGCCCCATTCACGGGCCCTTTACTCATGGATACCCCGCGATTTAACGCGATCGGTGATAATGGCACTGCGGCTAAATATTATATTTCGTCCATGGATCTCTGCCCTGTTTCAAGCTTCTATTCTGGCTCACATGAGGGTTTCCGGAATTTTTATCGCCAGGGGATCAGGAACAGAGATGGGGCAATGGATCAGGGTATCAATATGAGATAAGCGACATGTCAATGTCGATAGTATCAATATCTGTATTGCTATTGCATTTTTCAAACTGTTTGTATTGACAAGAGTCCGTGGCAAGCTCTTAATATGGGATTATACATACACAAGGAGCAAAAATCCCAAGTCCGCGGTTCTTCTACAGACACAATTTAATCATGAACGAGGTGCGTTGTGCGAAATTGACGAGAATACGTTGCGAACCTTGTTACAGCTCGTCGTTGATCAAGTAATCAACTAATATATCATTCTCAAGTGAGGGATTGATATCTCATGAGATCCGTGCATAACTTGCGAGGCTCGGAAATAAGACCACTATTCAGACAACGTCGGAGTAGTTTCGCAGGGTCTTTTTGGGTCTGCCTTGTACGCAGTAGACATCTCAGATACATGTGGTGGTTGAATGACTGAACCACCCAGATATCCGGGTTATGTAGGTTGGGTCCGTGTTTACATGGTCGCATCATAACACCCCGATAACGAAAGGCAACACAGGAGCAACGGGCAGCTTTTCTCCATTATTTTCATCTCCCTTTCTTTGAGCGTAGAGTTGCTTCTATTCGCCCATGCCATGTCAAGCGGCAAAGACCTGGAAAGCATACTTTCCAACAATTGGGCCGCATCATTTGGAAGTAACACACTGTTTCATCGGACCGGTTAGATACCTGGCAGATGAATAGCATGTGAGGAAGACTTCAATGGATCTGGGGAGGCGCGCAACTGAAACTACCGTAAACAGTTCATGAAACGGGTTCCACGAATGTGGCACCAGAAATGGATAGGGGAGTAGACAGGACGAGCCGAACTGCCAGGATATAGGTGGGATGAGCAGTCGGGTAAATATGGCTCCGACTCTCATTCTGCAGGCAGATGTTGGTACTTTTAATGCTCCCCCTTTTTTTTTTTCGCACCCGCGTGGGAGAAATGGAGGAGGGAATACTCCGTATAATTAGAGCAAAGGAAATGGAACCATCATGGCGACACCTAGGTAGTGCGATGTTGGAGCCCGCATGAATATGGTGCCACCGGCCTCAAGTCTTGCGACACACAGTTTGATCTGCGCCTGGTGGGAATCACAGAAGTTCTTCAACACACCTTTCAAGATCGTCCTGATCGAGGTGAATGGGAGGAAATTTGGACGCAGCCCTGATCTCTGATTGGTATTTATCTCAAAATTTCGGGAAGATATTGAATATCTTCCCGGTCCCCGGTCGCATTCATTCTGGGAATGCATAATCATCATCCAATTAAATCGCAAAATCCTAAAAGGTTGACTGACGCAAGCAAAGCGGTAGTTTTTTCAGCCCGGCTCGGCAGGGTAGGGTTAAAAGTGTATGAGGTGCATACCGATCGCAGCGCGTTATGCCGTTTTTATTGGCTACACTGTAGAGCTGAGGTGGTATCAGAAATAGTGAGGATATCCGATGGTGGGTGAGTTTTTCGGGCCGATTAAAGGCAACCGCGGCACACATTGATTATGGTTGCTTAAGAGGAACATTCGGACTATCAACTGTTTGGATTATTGGCTAACTCCAACGTATCGGTCGGAGAGAGGATCACCACTGAAGGCAGAAGGCCTGTTCTAAAAATGATTTCCAGCTTTCATACTTCGGACAACTCCATCTCCAGAACGTGAAAGTCATCGGCTGATGGCTGGGATAAGGGGTAAGGTGGGGTGGAGATTTGATATAGAACGCGGGAGCAAAGAAAAAAAGAAACTGAGAAAAGCCAGACGGGAAATGTGTCTCATCGTGCCGCTCAGTGCAAATATGCAGTTTGTTGCAGTTGCTATTTTATACACGTACAGTTGTTTGCAAGGCGTTTGGGCATAATTAACTATCATCCTTGTAACTTGATCCTTGATAATGGAAAAACTCCACCGGGAGTTCTGGAATTATGGATGTACCTTATTTTGTGACCCCTTTACTGGTTGGCAACTATTAGCTCCAATTTGAAGCTACAGCCCAAAAAATAGTTGGCTGACAATGATTGGATGAACTACCCCAGGGATCTCCATTTTCCCGCGTTTGCTGCGAAACCCACGAGGGTATGATAGTCTTCAACCAGTGCCACTCTCCACTTATCGGGTGCATCGCGAAATTTGGCTAGACCAGGGGTTGAACTCTTCCCCCGTAGACTAGCGATGGAGACTATTGAAGTGATTGGATACAGGTTCGTCATTTGACCCCTTCCCCCAAAGTTCCAGATGGGATTGGCTTCTCAGAGCAGTGAGCTAATGGTGGGTTGGCTCAATCCGATGCTAGTGAAACCATTACCCTGTAGCATTGCGGTGGTTTTCTGGCGGTGAAGATAATTTTCTTTTTGTTGAGTGGGTACGCTGCGTAGTGGTGACTGTTTGAGGAACCGCATGATTTAACTGTTTGCAAAGTTATATAACTATATGGATTTGAATGTAAGAGTGGTTTGGCATGGAAATTTGGAGAACAAAGAACCACAGACGGGGGTTGAACCCATATTCTGCTGTGAAACCGGAGCCAGCAAGAAGTAGAATAAGTGATTCATGAAATGGGTCTGTCTACTTGCTGCTGGAAACTTGGAAAAAAGTCTGAACAAGTTTCCATCGGTTAGATTAAACTTCTTGGCCCTGGCAGGAACCTGATTTTCACGATGCATCTTATCATGTATTATTGGGAGAGCTGTACTCGGTAGGCTTCAGCCCTTTTTTTGTGACCCCGTAAAGAATTGCCAGACTAGGAAAAATGGTAGATTCCCGAGGTCCTATCTCGAGAGGAATCATTTGGCCGTGTGGTCAGGCCCCCTCCATGACGAAGAGGGTTGGCAGAAGTGCATAATCGACAGAAGTGGATTAATGAATCCATTGCTACCTTGTATCAATCGATTTGCATCCTTGCTTGGCTTCGCGTGCTCGGCTGGATGCTAAAGTATGGTTGCCGGAACGTAGGTTGCACAGGTGACTTCGGCTTGGTTTCCGGTCCTCTAGTTATGCCCGCGATAACCGTGGAATATTTATAATAGATCATTTGTGCCATAACTAACTCTGTTAGTAGAGTCTAGGGAGATTACAAGAAAAAATGAGGGTGGTATCTGGTGATAAATACGGAGGAGACTGTTATATAGCTTGGCTTGGCTCGGCATTCAAGGGATGTGAACGGGGGCCAAGGACTCCAGGACTGGTGGTTAGTTGAGGTCAAATTTTTTCGATTCGTCCTGGCTCTGTGGCAAGGGGTGCAACCACAACCACGCAACTCCGCATTGAAATCCGTGAAGCTCGAAACCGAGACTGAGAAGTTGGTGAAATTGCCGGGAAAGCCAGTTTCCACCGTACTTGTGCCTCGCATCTTATTGTACGGGACGAACCTTGTTTGGAGAGAGCTGTGAGTTCGTAACCATGGGTAGGTGATATTTAAGCGCGATCCGGAGACGGGAGACAAAACTCCACAATCCGGGATATCCAAGCTTAATTATAACTGTTGTCTGTTATTCCGTGTGCGAATGTGGTATTATTGTTACCATCATTCTGCAAACACGACCCTGTTACGGGATCGGTAGGGAGATTCTCGATGAGTCATTATCAAATTGTAACATAATCAAAGCATAAAAGGGGGTCAAAAGGAGTGCGGGAGTACGGAGTAAACAACGAGGCAGTTCCAGAGAGAAAAGCAAAGACCCATCATGCCAGGAACAGCGTGCATTGTGCATTGTGACGGCCGCCAGCCAGGTGGACAACCTGTTTGCTGCACGCGTTGGGCCTGGACTTCTTCTTTACTGCTTCCGGGGCCCATGGGAAAGTTTGATAGACAGAACTCGAGTGAGAGATGTGGAGGAACCCGTAGTAATAATAATAATCCTGTCTGGTTAGAGTGAGCTTCAGTTGGGTGAAGTTCCCGACTTTTTCAAAAAAAAAAAAGACAGAAAAAATAAAATTAATTTAAAGAGATAAGATCAAGTAGGTTTCTACTATGATTATTATCATCCATGGGATTGATTGACTGTTGGCTTGTCTGCCAGAGCCAGCACCCAGTTCCCATCACTCGTTCAGCAGCAGCAGCAGCAGCAGCAACAA